TTTATTTTAATTATAAATGTTATGATTAGATTTTAATTAATTAATTTTTAATATAAAATTTTGTATTTTTAAAAAAATTATAATTATTACTTAATAATAACTTGTTATGTACAGTGTAGACAAAAAAATAAAAATAAAAATATAAAAAGAGAGTGGTGAAGGTGAAAGAAAAATAAACGGTACTAGGAACTAACTTTTGACTGTAGTACAACAGGACAGATGGGTAGCATGCAGACTGACACGTGCACGCGGACAAATCTACAAGTGACGGAGGAGGGGCGTGTTTCGCCAACCCCTTCCGTTTTTTTTTTTCTTGGTACATTCGCCACCCTCTTCAAATTCTCCATGTTACCGTGAGATTTTCAGTCCTTTTTCACTTAAAGCTTTATACTTTCACAACAGTTATTGATAACCGTTCTAGCAAACAGATAGGTTTTAGTCAAGACGGTTGTGAAAGTAAGGAGATGGAGGTGGCGGCGAGTTGCTTGAATGGGAATTTTGGGGCCAACCACTCCTCCGATGAGGTTTTGTCAAGATGGAGGAAGGCTTGCAGCGTTGTCAAGAACATCAGACGGAGGTTCCGTGTCACCGTCGATTTCTCCAAGCGTTCCAAAGCATCAGCTATGCTCCAAGCCAATCTGCTGGTTTGATTTTAGAATTATCTCTTGAAAGATTTCAGATTTGGTTCAGTCCCTTAAAGGGCTTCAAATTTTCATAAAAGTGATTTCTTTTTCTTCCCTCAAGATGGCCACTCCTTTATTGAACTTGTCAATTTCATCTGCGTGTAGTCTTTGTCCTTTGGCCTGTTGGGGTGCAATTTGGGATCTGTTTTTTGGCCATACAGTTTTGGGTTACTGGAACCGAAACTGTTGGTTTAAGTCACTTGGATGTGCTTCAAATTTTCATAAAAGTGCTTTCTTCCCTCAAGATGCCCACTTGTTTATTGAACTTGTCAATTTCATAAACATGGATAGAATAAAACTTTAATATCTGAATTGTTTTGGCTTTATTTTGGTGTGGAGACTGGGGTGATCCTCAGGGACAATGCATCTACATGGTATGATCATGGATTAGGGAGTGAAAAGTTTTAGAGGAATGCTAAGGACACTCTATTTATGGTTATTGCTGTGTTAGGGTTTCTTTGGGCTAAAGGGAAAGCTCTATTTAATCTCTGTGGTCCAGATGCTGATTTGATTTGGAACACACTTATTTTCAGTTCATTTGCCTTCTGTCAGCTAACCTTTTTTACTTCCAATATATGTTCAAAGTAACAGTTTGTGATATAACTGTTGAGTAATATGAAATCACAGACAGGGTTTTATAGTTATATCTAGAGAAAATCAGGGAATGAAAAATTTTAGAGGAATGCTAAGGACACTCTAACACTCTTCTTGGGATACTCTTCATGTGATTGACACATGTTTGATATAAATTCAGTGTGATTGGTCATAATTTTAAAAACATTAACTTTAATGTCAATCACTAATCACCAATCACATTAAATTTATGTTTTACGTGGCCCAATCACAAGGAGGGTGTTCAAAAGAGAGTGACGAAGTATCCCTGGCACTCCTCAAAGTTTCATGGTTATGTCTAGACGAAATTTAGGGAATGAAAAATTACGTTTGGGTAGGAAATTCAACAAGGCTCTTTCTTAAAGTACTAGATATTGCATATATTTCTCATACAGATGTGTAAATTTGCAATGACTGATGGAATATGCATAACGAACTCTGTCTGAAGCATTTAAGCTTTTTAAATGATAGCGTAGGCGTAGGTTCCAAATAAGTTGTTCTGCATATTAACCAATTATTATGTATGATGAGAAAAATTCCCATATTCAATTAATCTCATTGACTTATTCTAACTTTGCCAGGTGGCGAAACACGGAGCTGATGCC